GACCCTACTGACAACCTGGACAACTTTGCTAAAGCCACCTCTGATGCCATATCAAAAGAACTATAGCGGGCTTCCCTGGTGGCGCAGTGGTTGAGAGCCCGCCTGCCGAGGCAGGGGACACGGGTTCGTGCCCCGTACGGGAAGATCCCACATGCCGCGGAGCGGCTGGGCCCGTGAGCCATGGCCGCTGAGCCTGCGCGTCTGGAGCCTGTGCTCCGCAATGGGAGAGGCCACAACAGCGAGAGGCCCACGTACCGAAAAAAGAAAAGAACTATAGCTAACACTCCTCTGACTTCTCAAAAGAGACTGTGTCCTCTACATCTCCTCACCAGGAATTCACTGAGCATCTTGTAGAGACCACACCTGAGTTCACCACAGCGAACCAGGTTCCCGCTGTGGCTACCACAAAGTATTCATATACAAGCAACGTTAAAGTGAGTTGATCTGGCGGGTGAGGAAGGTATTTGTAGCAAGGCATATCCCAACTAGCAGCACCTCTCTATGACATACAGACCAAGATCATCACCATAGCCTCTGCAGATTTCTAAATCCCCTCCCTTTGTACTCCAAGCAAAAGCCTAAGCTCTCCAAGAACTTTGGTATGGCTTTCTGTTAGAAGGTGCACAGATTCAGTACTCTGAATCAGAAATACTAGCCCATCCCACAATCTGGGGGACAATTTAGTAAGTCATTTTCAATACTACTATACTCAAGAACCTGCTGCTGACCACCAAAGAGAATCATGATCACATTAGATTAATCCATAAAACCTCTTCAGGGTATAAAAGCAAAGGAGTATCCAATTTAGGATATCTGGGGAAAAACCTCTGCAGAGAGACTTGGTGGTCTTTGAATATGATTCCTCAGATTCAGCATCAGGAACGGGAACTAGATTCTCACAGGGCAACAATGGTTTCAGAAGACTTTTAAAACTAATTGTGAGGTATAGGAATTACTATGGAGAAACTGACTTTGGTTAGCATCTTATCAAGAGATCACATGGGGGGACTTCCCTGGTGGTGCAGTGGATAAGAATCCGCCTGCCAATGCAGGTGACACGGGTTCAAGCCCTGGTCCGGGAAGATCCCACATGCCGCAGAACAACTAAGCCCGTGCACCACAACTACTGAGCCTGCATACCACAACAACTGAAGCCCACGCACCTAGAGCCTGTGCTCCACAACAAGAGAAGCCACTGCAATGAGAAGCCCGCACACTGAAACAGTAGCCCCTGCTCACCACAACTAGAGAAAGCCTGTGCACAGAAACGAAGACCTAACACGGCCATAAATAAATAAATAAATAAATAAAAGATCACATGGGCTCTTTTTTCCCCCTCCCCACTGTGATTTTTTTAGGGCAGGCTATTTGAACAGGGAACTGGTAAAACAATTATTCTAAAAGTCAGGAAAAGTTACCTCTAGAAGGGTGGGAGGAGACTGGCTCTGCAGTGCTGTAATGTTTTCTTTCTTTCCTGGATAGTGGTTACATGCGCTCTTCCCTTACAATTATTTGTTAAATTGTACATGCTTGTATGCCTTTTTTTTTTTTAATATGTTCATCTCAAAATAAAAGAAAAAGGGAATTATTCATTTTTAAAAGAAAAAGAATTACAGGATACCTGGAGCTGGTCTATTATGCTTGAGGGCCTAAGTGAAGGCAAAGCAGAGGTAAGGATCCCTCTGGTCAAGCCACCTGCTGGAGAACCTCTACTGTGTCCTAAGAGAAGTGTAGCTGGGCAGAGGTCTCAGAGCTTGAGCTGCAGTGGCTCGAAGGTAACAGTGCATGAGAAGCTGAAGGCAGTATTTTACTGTGTTAATTCAAGAACAATTCTACCAGCCTCTTGAGTCTCATGAATAACTGCATGATGGGATGAAATCACTCAGTGACAAATGTTCATAGTGACCCATTCAAAGCCACAAGAGCAGCATGTGTAAATGACGTAGGACTGTTAAATAACCTATAAGTGTAAAGTTGGAGGGACAGAATTTTTTTTTGTGTGTTTAAGATATCTCATACCATTCAAGGGGGCTTGATGAGGTGGGAGTACCTTGAATGCACTCTAAAGGAGTAATTTTCAAGTTAAGATTCCAATCCACTGGGTCTGGGAGGTGGGGGTGGGGAGAAAAAATAATCTGTATTTTAAAAACTACTACAGAGAAATTCCCTGACGGTCCAGTGGTTAGGACTCGGCGCTTTCACTGCCAGGCCAGGGTTCAATCCCTGCTCAGGGAACTAAGATCCTGCAAGGCATACACCATGGCCAAACAAAACAAACAAAAAATGACAAAAAACAAAACAAAAAGAAAAACAATTATAAAGGGGATTTTGTTTTGATTTTCCAGAATGGGAACCAATGCACAAAGACACCATGATTACTTCCCCAAGAAAGTCAGGGTCCCTAACACTTTTCCTACAAGGCTCAAATCAGAGGTCTGATCTTCTCTTTCTGCCAAGCTTATCTGTGGTTAGAAAAGAATTGGCCCCTCCTGCCACCCAAAAACTTTTGTGGAACAAGGTTTTTGTTTGCCATACGCAAACTTTTGTGGGAGGGTCAAGGGCACATTGAGAAATACATGTGTGATTATATGCAAATAAGAAGGCCATCCCCAAAGTGTTATTCCCTCTGGATGGCAAGTAACTTTTTTTCTTGTACTTTTTTTTAATTTCCAAATTTTCTACACTGAATTTCTTATGTAGTAAAACAACAACTAATTAATGTTTAAAAGACTGATGAGAACAGACATCCTCTATTTTTGACAAACTGGTTTCTCCTTCTGCAGCTGAGCACAAGCACTTGCTTGTCCCAGCCATTGGCTCTCTGTGCAAGCAAGCACTGTGGCCCTGCCTGTCACCATGGACAGCAATCAGGGAAGGGTGAAAGGGCAAGAAAGTCTGGGCCAGGCCAGGGCTCCGGGAGTACATTTAACCCCAAGCTGACTGCCTCTGAGGCATTACTGGGGAAATGCAAAAACATTGCTAAATTTTTCTGTTCCTTCCCCACCTCCAATTTAAGCCCTGAATCATCATGTAAAGCAGTCACTTGCTCCTTAGTCCTTTTAAACATTCATTTATTTACTGTACAAAATATTTACACTATTGCTGCAACTGTCTGGCCCTTTAGTCTCGCCTGACAAATTTGCAGCAGCAGGGCTTGGTCTCTGCTGAAGTTCTAGAAACATGCCGACATCTTCCTTGGTGTTCACTTGGTGCCTGGTCTCCTTTGAAGAGACTAAAGGCCAGGAGGTTAGCTGGCTCCCCAAGCATCTGGGTCACAAGGGCATAAATAAAACAACTGGCCAAAATAAGAAACGTGAATAGAAAACTGCTCAAGAAGTAACAGACACTCTTCCTTCTCTCCGACATGGTGTACCTCTCCCCACACTGGCTAGTTCCAAAGCAGGATTAGAAAAAAAGGTCAAAGGAAAGGCCTAAAGAGCAAAGATACTTTTGAATAGTTAGGAGAGAGAGGGTAAACCGGAAGAACAGAAAACCACAACAGTACCAAAGGGTTTTGTTAAACAAAGACCTTGGGGCTAAGGACCACTGCAGGACGCAGCTGGGCTGCAATGGTACCCAGGATGCTCTGAAAAGTGCTATGACTAGAGCTTAAAAGGACAGATCTAACCAAGAAAATCAACTTGAGCTCCAGCATGAGTCTCTGGAGAGGAGAATGCAGAATCCAGAAGAGAAACAACAGCCAAAGACAGCAGAACCAACCCATGTGCCCCCCAGCTGGAAACCCTCTCTGGGCCCGAGGGGCAGCATCATGTTTCCCGGGGGATGATGAAACTTGCCTGTACATATCCCATAGGAAAACACCGGGGCAGGCAGCAGCACCTTGTCCTGGTCCCTGAGGACAGCAGTGACTGTGTGGCATGGAGGACCCTGGGGTACAGAGGCCCTGATGCTTGATCCTAGACCCCAAGGATGAGTGAGGTCAGCACCCATGCCAAGAAGGACAAATGACAACTGCGAAGGAGTGAGGTCAGGCAGGAATTGTAGCAGCTCAGGAAGGCTTGTTCCTCACGATCTCTAGGAACAGGAGGGCTCAGGCGTGCTTCCAGGAGGCCAAGGCACTGCTGCAAGTCCCGCCTCATCTCTGGACTCTTTGTACTTGCTGGTTTTGGCAATAAAGATGGCTTGTAAATATTCTCAGAGTTGAATGCCCCATTGGGAATGGTAGCTTGCAGCAAAGCCTTCTTAGAAACAGAAATTTGGGAATTCAATGAGATTTTGAGCCTTGAAAACGTCTTCATTCAAATCGTAATGAAAAAGGTGGTTGTCATCTTCCAAGAAACAGCTGCAGGTTCTCTTCAATCATCATGTAACAGTGAACCTAATTTATCTTCCTCCCTCCTTAGCTGCCCTTGCTGTTAACTGATGGAGTGACAGGAAGTAACTGGGACAGCTAGGTGTTTATTTATCATCTGATGTATCTCCTCTATGTGTGTGCCCTGTGTCCTGACCCTAAGGACCTGTGAGGAGCAATTAAATTACTGATTCCTTTTCCCTTGCCTTAGTGCTGCCAGGGAACACCAAGCAAAGAGAGAACCAGGGATCGGTGGCATGCTATCGTACTGTCCCAATCTCTTGCTCCAAAAGTTTCTTCAATAGAAATCTAAAGAACCCCCAGCTCTTAGCAGACTCTGCATAAGCTGGAGGTGAGTGGCCGAGCCCAGCCACACCTCAGTGTAAAGAACAAACTCAGGGACAAGCATCAGTAGTCTTTAAGCCAGCCACGTGCCTAGACATGCCCCATAACCCTAAAGGAGAATCACATTCAGCACTGGAGGCAACAGCCCAGCTATCTTTCACATTCTTAGGTCTGTCTATCTCACAGGCTTATACTCAAGAAAAAGCTTATTAGGGAGTTCTTCTTTGTGGATTAATGATCATTTCCAGAAACGCTTACAAGGAAAGCTCCTTTTCCAGTTCTGACACCACAGAAAAGATCCTTTTGTGCTATCAGTCACCATGAGAGGTAGTCCAGTGCCACTTCGGCTACTGAGAGCTTTCTAAGAACCAAGTGCAAGCATAGCAGCATGGCCCTCCTCTCGTGACTGAGTGAGTTGCTCAGATTATGTACCTGCCAAAGTGGCTTGGGGTGGGGGGGAGATGGGAAAGGAGGGGGCGAGGGAAGGACAAGGCTTGTAGGTGACTGAATACTCCAGACACGGAGAGCACGCAGCAGCTTCTGGCTGATGGTTTTGTGTATGTTAGGGTCAGTGGTTGTGTCTGTTATGTGCACCCGGATGCTCCAGAAAGCACGGGAGCCAAGTGGATGGCAAGAGAGTGGTCAGAGCATGCCAAAGCCCTCGCAGCCCTCACTGATGGCCAGCTGCAGCATCCTGTGCACCTCTTCATATGAGTCATACGTAGGGAGGCACAGCTGGTTGAAACTGGAAGGCCAAGGGGAGAGAAGTGATTAACTCACACCACCAGAAACACTGGCAAGGGCTGGAAAAATAATCCCCCGTGACAGCACGCACCAGGCAGTCAGATACCCACCACGTGTGTGCAGTTGGTAGCGTGCTATGGGTCGGAGTGGCAATAATCTGGAATGAGGGACAGAGGGCGGCAAAGCCTCCAGGTGGTAGCTGAGACGAGCCTGTTGTGAACTGAAGCAGCCGAGCCAACTCCTCCTGCGTCAAACTGGAAACCACGGTCCAAAACCACCTCATGACCTGGCAGGGAGAGCACAAGGCTGGGGTCACACCTATGTGCAGCTTAGGATTTGACCCCTGGGGGAAGGAACAGGATATCCTGAAGTGGGGGCGGGCCCCAGTTACTGCATGCAGGTAGGAACGGCTAGAGTCGACAACCTCTTTAAAAGGAATTGATATTGTTACACGGTCAGGAGGGCAGTCGCTGATTACTTGGTTCTATTTCTCTGCCTTTCCAATGTACTGCCTCTGTGGCAGCAGCATGACAGCCCTTAGGGACCAGGGCTCCCGTCTGCCTGGATGACCACCTGCCTTTCCCACATATATCACTTTCCCACATATATCCCAGTTGATATGTCTGCTTCTCCGACTACTCGACTTTTTCCTTCTGAAACTTTTTCCTTACAAGACAGCACAAATTCGACTAAAAGAAATTTGGCCCACTTACCTTTTCTCTGAAATGCCATGAGCCACCAACGACCACCGCATGGGCTTTGAAGTCAGACACACTGATGTCCCCAGTCCCACACATCAGCAGCTGGAGAATAGTCAGGTGTTACTAGGATAGTCAGAGGGGCAAAGTCCCACCATAAGGTCAAAATATGTTAACAAGCAAAATGTGGAATACAGAAAACACCAAGAAAGAGACATAAGGTGAGGTCATAATGCCAGAATGCTTTAGGAAAATCAATTATAATAGGCCAATGGTTCCTAACCAGTGTGGTAAAAATCACACAGCTTAAAAAAAAAAAAAAAAAAAAAAAAAAAAGACAGATGCCTATGGCCTTACCCCAGACCTACTGAATCAGAATCTCTAGGGACAGGTAAAAAAAAAAAAAAAAAAAAGATAGACAGACAGATGCCTATGGCCTTACCCCAGACCTACTGAATCAGAATCTCTAGGGACAGGTTACAAGCTTGTGTATTTTGAAAAAGTTTCCCAAGGGCTTCTGATGCGCACCCCTAATTAAGAACTGCTGCTATATATTATTTTGAATTGAAACAGAGGACAGAAAGGGAACCAAGTATTTACTGGCTGTCCACTCTGCATGTGGCCTGGGAATACCAGGGGAAAAAAAAAGGCCCTTCCCCTTTCATGAAGACCCCCAGCCGCATATATGAATTTGTTAGATGGCCTTTCCTTTTTCCCAGGATCCATCCTTCTTTTCTGGATTGAACTTCTACTACCGTCCCTTCAGCCCTGCGTCTACTTGGTCAGATAAATGAAAAAGAATGCCAAAAAATGAGAACATTAATGACATCAGAACCCTAAACATCTTGTTGATGTTCTAATTTGGTTCAAGATCCAGCAAGTTACTTAGCAGACTCTAAGTACTCATCCAATAGCTATAAAGAATGAAACAACCTAATCAAAGAAAAGAAAAGCCCAAATTAAGCCTGAGAAGCTTGGCTCCTTCAAAAAGAACTTGCTAAGCTAATGAGTAACTAAGAGCAGGATGGGGAACAACCGTTAAGAGACTGTGTCCTCCCTCCTATGCACTTTATGAATTGTTACAAATGCTTTGCTTCAGGATAAAACAAATTACACCAGAAGCTGTTCCTCAGCCCAGAAAATGACAGCAAGAGGTGACAGGTCTGTCAGAAACTTCAGGCTGAGAGATGGACAGTTCATTATTCAGATTTCATATCTAAAGGTACAAAACATGTTGAAAATTGCATGAGACTTTGATTCTTGTTTCGAAGCCAATTCAATTAATAAGAATAAAAACTGTGCAAGACTACCTGGAACTACTTTTTGTTTCCCCATTTTTAAAAGAAGAACTTCCTCCCTACAGGAAATAGTTTACAGAAACATGCCCCTCATAAAGGCTATGGGAAGTTAAAGCTAAAGCTAGTAACCTGCATTGTGTGTATCATCTGTGAGCAGCAGGTAAAAGCAAACTGGTTTTATTTTTTTGTCTATACCTGAAGTTCATGGAACTTCAATTTTGCTAATTATAGCAAGGTATTTACCATCTTATAGCCACATTTTGGGTGTTACAGGATCTAAAATAAGAATATATTAACTATATAGTGTTGTAACACAAAGCTGTGAAATGCATCACATCTTTTGGTTTGTTTCCTTCACTAGAATGTAGCTCTATGAGGACAGGGACTTGGTCTTATTCATTCCTAGCTCCCCAGTTCTTCAAAAGCACATGGCATATAGAAGACACTCAATAAACAGTCTGAACAAATAAATTCTATTATTCCCTTAAATCAACTTTAAAGGTCATAGGATTTACAAAGACTGTATAGGATACCAACATTCTTTACTACTTGACCCGTATCAATAATATTTGATGAATAAATGTTAATTATTACTATTCATAATTAGTAATTTGCTGATTCCTAATTTTCACATTCAAATTTTTTAAAACCTGGAGAAAGGGTCCATGCATGGAAGAGTGACAAAAGTAAAGCCAACACTTAAAGGGCTTTCCTACTGCATCTCATAACAGAAGGTACAGTAATCCAGTTCCTATGGGCATAATAAAAAGCAAGCCAAGAATAGGGGGTGTCAATTGTAAGCACTTACCTCAAGCTCATTCTCATCAAAAATAGCCAAAAGGTTCTCAGGGACCAACTCATTCAGGCCTGAAACAAAGTAGCCAAATTAAAGCCATATCCACACCATGGATACAAGTATTTTCACCTCAAAGCCAAGAGTAGACAGGATCCCACCTTTTAGGAAATGTTCCACTTCCTCTTTCACTTGACTGGCCAGCCGATACTGGGCCAGCAAATTTAAATAGAAGATTTTATTCGCGTTGGTGACTGGGGTTTGAGCTCCACCTGTCATAAGTTCTACGACCTGAAAGAAGAGGCAAAAGACAGGGAGAGGATGTGGATTGGAGTTTATAAGATGACATCTGCCCAGTATGTCCCACAAACACAGCATTACTGAACTCCACCATGGTCACAAGTTCCTACTGTGCGTTCAGGTTTTCAACACACTTGGTTTTATTTAGTTACTAAGCTTAAGGTTTCCTACCGCTATTGCTATATATTCTCTTCGCTACTGTTTCTGAAGTGGGTCTCTCAGTAAGTCTCCTCTGACCTGGTCAAACAGTGGTGATGCAACAGGAAGATATTATGGTTCCTTGTTAGCAATATTTTAACATTTCTATGATCCAAAATTGAACCATTACTGACCTCTTCTCTTAAACCCCTGAGCCAATAAATAAATAAATAAATAAAACTATATAAGTAGTGAAGAAGTCTTCTCAGGTCTTAAAAATTCTAAGATGGGCATAGATGTTCCCTACATTCTTCTATTTCCAACGTGAGTCAATGGAAAAAGCCATGGCTCGATACTTGGAGACTAGCTTGCTATAGGATTTCAGTCACTTAGATATTTGGGCTCCCGATTTTTCTATCTGCAAAGAAAAAGCTGAACTCCATGATTCTCAAATAGAATTGGCACACTCCTTCCAATAAATAACTCCTAAGGGAGCTTTGAGGAAGCCCTGAAGCACAGTTTAATGCCACAACCCCAGAAAAACCTGTGTACAATGACCATGGTTGTCTTCATAGGTGAGTAGTGAAGGGCCTCCGTTTAGTTACAAGATCAGATTTTAAGGTCCTGATGACAGCATGGTAGGGGCGGAACTCTGCTCCAGAGCAAGGATTCTCAATGGATCTAAACGTGTAAGACTTATTTTCTGTTACTGTGCACAATTCTGGATATTTTTATTTTATGTGTGTAAGCATTTCTAACTAGTAGCCTAAGTAGTAAATTACTAAGATTTAGTATTCATATTAAATCCATTTAAAGTCAGTACTCCCCTAGGCCTGTGGACACTAATTCAGTACTCCACTGACTCTCGACACCTTGCAGTGCTGGGTCAGGAAGACAGGCTCCGCCCACACACGTGCAAAGGCCATCAGCTGGGATCCCCACAATGCTCCCAAAGGTATCTGATTATCAGTTCAGTGCTATCAGTGATCACAAATTTTCAGTCATCGCTATTTTGCTTTCAATTATTTATAACTGCAACTTTAGCTTCATCGTTACCATTTGATATTATTTAACCCCAGGATGTAAACAAAACCACATTTGCATCAGAAATACTTTTGGCCATTAATTTTCTAGTAAAAAGTTTAAAAATATATACGCACAGTGCTAAAATAGGAGTCATCTACCTCCCTGCCCCTAATGTTAAGAAAGACACTGTCATCCCTTCCAAAGCTGCTTGTGCAGTGACACTTCACTATCACTTAGTTCTTTCTCTACTGGAAAGTAGGAATGGGTGGGATGGATGGGTATACGTGCCTTTGGCTCCACTTAAATAGGCCAAGACCATACAGTGTGGGATGCAGTGCCCCAAAGCTATGCTCTCCAATATGGTTGTCACTAGTCACATGTGGTTATTTAGAAATTCAGTTATTTGGTCATACCAGCCACATTCTGGGTGCTCAAAAGCACAAACAGAGAACACTTCCATCACTGCAGAAAGTTATACTAGAGAGCCCTGCTCTAGAGAAGGGTGGGAAGTGGGACCCACAGGCTTCAGTTCTCTTTCTCACCTTATCCAATTGACCTGATTTGTTATATTTCTCTTCTGCAAAGACCAGCTCCATCTCACTCATGTCATTGTTGAGGATGAAACAAACTTTAGATTTGTAGAATTCTGGGTCATCTGTTTCAAAGTACTGAGGAGACAGGAAGACACAGAACAGAACATGACTACTCTTACCCAGAAATGAAATTTGTAACTGCTTGGAACCACTTACCCATTCAACCTTAAGAATAATAAGCTGAGGGTGGAGAGATTCCAGAGTTAATGGCCAGGGACCTTAGTAGAAAATGCACACCTAAGAGTTACCTTGTAATGCATACGCAGTCCTATGATTTGGGCCAAGAAAGAACGGGTGAAGCGAGCTCGGACCAACTGCTTGTAGGCTCCTCCTAGAGAGGACTCATAGAGACACTTGCCCACCAGGCGCCCTGCAAACTCATACATCTTTAGGCGCAGATGAGCGGGGCGATTAGGGTTGGGATGCACCTGTCAAAGAGAAAGATTAAAAGGCCCTGGGCCATTTTTCTTCAAGCCTAGTTCTGTGAAGATCCTCCCTCCCCAACTCTATCCCAAGGGAGCAAAAATTTCAGTGTTAAGATCAAAGAGCCCATCCAAATGGCATTAGTTGTTTGGTAGCCACCATTGAGTAATTCAAAGTGATTGGATGGGGCTTCCCTGGTGGCACAGTGGTTGGGAATCCGCCTGCCAATGCAGGGGACATGGGTTCGAGCCCTAGTCCGGGAAGATCCCACATGCCGCGGAGCACCTAAGCCTGTGTGTCACAACTACTAAGCCTGCACTCTAGAGCCTGCGAGCCACAACTACTGAGCATGTGTGCCACAACTACTGAAGCCCGCATGCCTAGAGCCCATGCTCCACCACAAGAGAAGCCACTGCAATGAGAAGCTCGCGCACTGCAACAAAGAGGAGCCCCCACTCACCGCAACTAGAGAAAGCCCGCGCGCAGCAATGAAGACCCAGCACAGCCAAAAATAAATAAATAAATAAATTTACTTTTAAAAAAAAAAGTGATTGGAGGATAAAGGGCAAAGATGGACTTACATTAAATTGAAGAATCTTATATTTATTTCATGGTCCCTGGCTGCAAACGGAAGTTAATCACTGGATGACATAATGTCTTTTCCCTAAACCAGAACTTCTTTCAGCCAAAGTCTACTTTTCTACTCCACCTAGTCAAAGATCTCGCACAGGGGCTTCCCTGGTGGCACAGTGGTTAAGAATCCACCTGCCAATGCAGGAGACATGGTTCAAGACCTGGTCCAGGAAGATCCCACACGCTGTGAAGCAACTAAGCCCATGCACCACAACGACTGTAGAGCCTATGAGCCACAACTACTGAAGCCCGTGCTCCTAGAGCCCATGCCCTGCAACAAGAGAAGCCACCGCAATGAGAAGCCCGTGCACTGCAACGAAGAGTAGCCCCCGCTCTCCACAACTACAGAAGAGCCCATGCACAGCAACGAAGACCCAACACAGCCAAAAATAAATAAATAATATAAATAAATTTTAAAAAGAGAGAGAGATCTTGTACAGAGTTCAATTGCTTCAGGTATGTTTTTTTTTTTTTTTTTTTTTTTTTGCGGTCCGCGGGCCTCTCACTGTTGTGGCCTCTCCCGTTGCGGAGCACAGGCTCCGGACGCGCAGGCTCAGCGGCCATGGCTCACGGGCCCAGCCGCTCCACGGCATGTGGGATCTTCCCGGACCGGGGCACAAACCCGTGTCCCCTGCATCGGCAGGCGGACTCTCAACCACTGTGCCACCAGGGAAGCCCTCAGGTATGTTTTGAGAAAAGTGGCTTAATTATTAAAACACTAAGGAGTAGAATAGCCACTGTATTATAATGCTTTTAAGTTAAATATTCATCTGTCTGCATTTTCTCTTATTTTTCAGATGAAATAATGAAGGCAAAGAGGAGGGAGGCAATCTGATTAGTTCAAACTCTTATTAGTCTCTTCATTAGAACAAAATCCACATTTTCCTCCCACCCACGTGGAAGTCACAGACTCACTAATGCTTGGTTGGTGTCACTGAATCGGGTGAAGAGCTGATTGGTGGTGTCAAATAGAGCTTTGCAGATTAGCTCAAACCATTCCCGGCGAGGCCCTCCCCAGTCCAGAGCTGAAAGTATAACAAAAATAAAAAGTGACTCTGGCCTACCACCTCTTATCACTTTTGTTCATTTATTCACCATTTTATACTCTCCGATCCTTACTTCCTGCATTCCACCACCCTGGTGTCCCACATTCCATCCCACGTCAGCTATGGACTTTTATTGAAATCCCCTCTTTCTGTAGGATTAAAGGTATTCTGATCACTAAGCTAATGCCTCCTAGTGTGGGGATACAGATCAGAGAGCCTGGGAAACTGACATTTCTCTACAAAGGTTACTTTACCCTTCTGCTTCAAACTCGCCCTCCAAGTCCCTGTATGCATGTGCTTTACAAGGTCTACCACACTATTAGCCATTAAACGCCACCCTTTTTTTTCTTGACTCATGACTTCTTTTTCCCAGGGAAAAAGAAGCTGGGGCAGGGGTGGCGAGTATGTGTAGGGGGGTTGCTTTTGTTTCTGTGGATGCGGGGTAAGGAGACAAGGAGGAGTGTGAAGGAGAGTCTAAAAAGATGAATATGAAATTTCAAAACTGACCTTCTTCGTCCTGAAAAACCACTTCAAAGTTCTTGCTCCAATCTGAGATGGAGAAATTCCGAGTGGCTTTCAGAGACTGAAAAGCAGTGAAATAAAAAGAAAGGAAACTGTCAGAACACTGGCCTGTCTCTCTTGGGTGTTAAAGACAAAAACACAAGAACATTGCCATTGTCCATGTAATAACCACAAGTACCTGGAGGCAATATATTACTCATAAATAAGCTTTAATACTACCATCTTATATTTATTTTATTTATTTATTTATTTATTTTTTTTGCGGTACGCGGGCCTCTCACTGTTGTGGCCTCTCCCGTTGCGGAGCACAGGCTCTGGATGCGCAGGCTCAGCGGCCATGGCTCACGGGCCCAGCCGCTCTGCGGCAGTGGGATCTTCCCAGATCGGGGCACGAACATGCATCCCCTGCATCGGCAGGCAGACTCTCAACCACTGCGCCACCAGGGAAGCCCACCATCTTATATTTAAAATGTAAATATCTCCAGAAGAAATCTAAAATTAAAAAAATAATCTAATTCATATTTACACCATTGCCTTACTGGAAAGTTGAAACTTTTTTTTAATAATCCTCATTTTATTAATGAGAAAACTCTTAAATAAAGCAGTAACAATGGCTCAGATCAGTAAGCTGTCAGCAAGAGAACAAAGGAGTCTTGGTTTTCAGTAAAGTACAGTCTATCCGCTAGACATTTTTAGCCACAAGGCTAGGTTCAGACAGGAAGCCATGCCACAAGGAGAATGTGGCTGAGAAAAGGGGTTTCCAGCAGCATCTACCAGAGCTAAATATCACACTTTCTGGACAGGGACCAAGGCCTTCTCATTCTCAAGGAACGTAAGAACTATGCCAGTGTCTATGTAGTGGAGTCAGTCACACATTAGGCGTTCCTTTTCCATCAGGCCAGAGTGACAACAAAAATCATTTCCTTTTAATCCCACAAGAGCTCTTCTATTCCTGGGATTCAATAACAGGAACTTTCTTCTGTAACAACAACTTAACACCTGTCCTTAATGCTTTTAAGCTAAATAGTCATCTGTCTGCATCTTCTCTTATTTTACAGCTGAAATAATGAAGGCAAAGAGGAGGGAAGCAATCTGATTAGTTCAAACTAGTAAGAGTTCCATGAAATTGTTCAGGAGCTAGTTCAGTCTGATTTTAAAGCCAATGTGTCAACTAGTCTCTCCTTTCGATAACATACCTCCAACAAATCTGCCCCAAATTCAGTACAATCAAATGCATAGAACACCGTCTTTAATACGTTTAAAGAAGAGAGAGATGTGTTTCATAAAAAAGATAACCTGCAGAATATAACCAAATATCACAGAGGTTTCTAGTTGGAAACTTTTGACAGGGATGAAACTTTACGCACCGATTCCAACAAGGCATGTCTGCTGACCTTCAGGGTGACTTTGGAATGTGGTCTTTTCATATGTACCTGCCGAAGCTCTCTCTGGAAAAAGTTCACCTTGTCCTGAAAGGTCTCAGAGCCTCCTAAGGAGCAGCAAGATCCATCATGATTACAGCCTCATTATAAGACACCTGTGCAGGCCACCTCTACACCCTCAGGCACCCAGATATCTGGGATCAATGCCTACCCCATCAGAATCCCTGTCCAAACTCACCTAGGTTTTTATGGAGTGAGCGGATGAACGTGGCCGCTAGGATGTTCCTCTCCTTACAGCTGAGCTCCACAGGAGGCTGAATGCCATCATCCACCACCAGTGTGAGCAGCTTATGGACAGGGTCAGGGCCAAGGTATGAAAACTAACAAAAGGAAAACAAAAAAAAGAAAAGGAGTTAATCTATAAAGCCCTCAAATCCAGCAAAAAGCCTTCACATCCCTACCCTTCTGACCAACCAACAAAAACAAGCTAAGCCTGTTTTCCCCAAGTAAGTACCTACCAGGAGTACATCTCCTTGTTTTTCACCTCAGGGCTCTATGATTCAGATTTTATTTTAAATTACTCGAGTCACAGAGACCACCTTTGGTAAGGATCACAGGCAACACTACAGACTTTCCAACACAAAACATAAGAAGGGTAAGAGCAGGAAGGATATGTGAAATAGCAAATGAGCACCTGAATAGGTTGGGCAAACTGGCTGGAGGAAAATGATTTGCCTTTAGATTCCAAAAGCTCAGAAGAGTTTAAAAAAAAAAAAACCCACTTTTTAATTTTTTTTTAATTTTTTTAATAGATGAGACTACTGGTGCTAAAAGAGCTATCTTTGGCACGCTGGGAAGCCAAGCTCAGGTCAGAGCTTAAGACTAAGCTCTCCATTAACTTAGTCTTAGGGACAAAAAGATAACTGTTGAAGTATTCTGACTTGCTACCAATTGCTGTTTCTGTAGGCACGTGTCCTCCTAGAACCACATCCTTCACGAGGAGGTAACAACTCCTTCTTTATTTGGCAATAAATCCTGTGTGCACAATGAGAACTTCCAGAAACAACAAAAGTCCTTCAAGGAAAAAAGAAAAGGTTGAGATGTTGGAGGCTGAAGCCTGCTCTACATGAGCCGGATGTAAGGTTCAACTTACTTTTGTTCCTGGGCACACTCGGAAGGTATAAAGGCGCCAGGGAATGATTTTCAGGTAGAACTCCTTCACTGAGAATTGCTGGAGGACCAACATATAGAAAATGATAAAGAGGTTCTGTTTGAGTATAGTAATTCAAATATCAGTCCCCATCTACATTTCTCATGATAACCCTTTTCCTCTCTGAACAAAGAAGATAATTTAGGACTGAAATCAAATAGAAAACATCAACTCTATCTTAAAATAGGCAAATTTAAAGTATTACTCTCACCATGCAATTTCACACAGATATTTCATAATCTTGATACTCAAGTCTTACTACCATTTCCAAATATCTGAGATCAGGTTTTCACTTTATAAGTAGATAACATTTCACCTAGAAACAATCAAAATCTCCTTCTGCTTAGCCAGATGCGGCTCAGAGAGACTTCTTCGAAGTCAGAGGACAGGGAACACCAGTGGCCCACACCCACTGCTTTATCTCTATTTGAATGGCACCAGGGATTTGCTGGAGAAGAGGGGGTTGGGGATGGGAGGAGTCTCATACAAAAAAGTTCATAAAAATCCTTTATGTCAGAATAAAAAGAGGTCTGTTGCCATTTACAATAAAAGAAAAGACAATGTAATAACTTTTTAATCTAAAAAAAACCCCTGGGCTTCCCTGGTGGCGCAGTGGTTGAGAGTCCGCCTGCCGATGCAGGGGACACGGGTTCGTGCCCCGGTCCGGGAGGATCCCACGTGCTGCGGAGCGGCTGGGCCTGTGAGCCATGGCCGCTGGGCCTGCGCGTCCGGAGCCTGTGCTCTGCAGCAGGAGAGGCCACGACAGTGAGAGGCCCGCGTACCGCAAAAAATAAATAAATAAGTTAAAAAAAAAACAAAAAAACCTGTGGGGCTTCCCTGGTGGGGCAGTGGTTAACAATCTGCCTGCCAGCGCAGGGGACGTGGGTTCAAGCCCTGGTCCAGGAAGATCCCGCATGCTGCGGAGCAACTAAGCCCATGTGCCACAACCACTGAGCCTGTGCTATAGAGCCAGCAAGCCACAACTACTAAGCCCGCATGCCACACTACTGAAGCCTGTACGTCTAGAGCCTGTGCTCCACAACAAAGAGAGTAGCTACCGCTCGCCACAACTAGAGAAAGCCCCTGTGCGGCAACGAAGACCCAAAGCAGCCAAAAATAAATAAATAAAATAAATATTGAAAAAAAAAAATTTTAAACCCTGTTATCTGAACATGTAGTAGGTCATATTTTTTTCTTGATTTTTAAAGAACTCTTCGTTAAAGAAAATTTCAAACACATACTAAAGAAGAGAAAACAGTACAATGAAGTCATCACCAGCTTCAACAATTATCAGGTCACAGCCAGTCTTGTTTTATCTCTATCTCACCATTTCCCTCTTTGCCATTCCCCCGGGCCAAATTAAGGCTAGATTTTTAAATGATGAATAGTGCACCGCAAAGTGTTCTAAAGTAGAACAGAATTAGAACTCAGGTTTGGTTATGCAATTAAAGGAATGTAATGGGATGTTTCAAGAGTCTCATTTTTCTGAGGTCTGTATGAATAAGCAAAATACAAACACTAAAAAAGAAAACCCCTAAGACAAAGCGCCTCTTAGCTCAGGGGCCTTGGGGAGTTCACCTCCTTGTCTCTGCCAAAATTTCTCTATTCCAATCCTGTACATGGATCATGACATCTGTTGTGGTTTCACAAATCACAGAATGAAAGATCAAATTGTTCTGAAATAGTACAAGGGTCCAACAGTAATTTTTACACTAGTGAGAAATTGTTAATGGTTAAAAGTAGCTTTCTTTAAAACTCTGAGAGCCATGCCTTGAAAAATCTTCCCAGAAGCAATCAAACAGCAGAACGCCTCAGGTGCTCTAAAATCCCAAGGCACAGACTCTCTAGACATAGATGTAATCCAGCCAAACCAGACATGGGCAACAGAAGAGGAGGCACGGCCTTCTGCTCAACTTGAAGCAGCCTCCTCAGTATCCCTGAACCCCAACATGGCAATGATCTTGCTCTGATTCTCAGACTGTTGCTTTGTGGATTTTGTAACCAAATACCAATTACAAGCAGGCTCGGGGCGGGGGGGGGGCAAGAATAAGAGTTCCAACCTTTGGTGACACGTAGCAGTACACCTTCTTCGGTTTCTTCACCTTCTCAGGGGTGTGACACTCAGAGGGTGAGTCTTCATCTTCCTCCTCCAGAGCCGTGGAGGGCCGGCGCTGGGCAGAGCTTGTGTGCATGGGTGGGAGGTGCCACGGCGTGCTGGTGCAGTTGGCAGCATTATACAGATAAGCTTCAAAGTAAATGCTCACTCCTGAGGTGGATACATTGCGTTCGACAATATTCCTCTCATTCTCTGAAGTATAACAAGGAATAAGGTTTAAAGTGCAAGACAAGGGAGAAAGTTACCTATCACTAGACCTTTAGTCCACAGGGCTCTAAACCAAGTTTGGCTCAAATATCTAATATTTGTGGGGTTGGTCAGAAGAGTGCAGACGTGCAAAGAACAAGTGGCCTGAGAAGAGGACTAAATAACAGTTCTTCTCTCAACTCACCACTTAGGACAATAATGTCAAATTCGCCATTATTGATGGGCTGGTTTTGGTATGAAATGCAGGCATGGAAGCAGCCTCGAGAATGCAGGGTGAGCCGCAAGAACACCTGGCAGGTCTGCCGGTTGGATGTCACTGACTTCTCAAATGAGACACCAGTGCTCTCTTCTTCCGGAGGACCGAGCTACAGGAGGAAAACAAAGCAACACGAACCATACATAATTTTCCCTGTTTGCACAGTAATTTAGGCTCTACAAAGAATTTTCCTATCTACGACCTAATCGAAGTCTCACAGTTACTAATGAGATAGGTATTGTCAGATGAAGGAAGGCAGGCACAACAGTCAGGGAGAAGGAGACGGATGGAAGTGAACTAGAGAGGGTGAGAGTGACAGGTGGGAGCACGCAGGGCAAGATGCGAGCCTGCTTACCTCATGAATGGACAGACTGTAATTGTGCTCATCTCTCAAGGACGTGGAATTGTTGGTAGGGTTGTCATACTCATCTCGGGGCACTATTTGAAGAGTGTGTGGCTGCCCACAGGTCAACACGAGAGTAGAAAAATGGCACACAATTTTGGTCTTGGAAGGAACCACCATTCCTGGAACAAAGACAATGGAACATAATGTCAGAGAGGTGATTTTTAGGGCACAAAGATCTACTCAGTCAGTGAGTCCTAGAAAGCTGGGTGCCAGCCCAGTTCCTAGGGATAAACAATACCATTATGAGGCAGAGAAAAAGAAAGAAAACAAAGAGATTAATTCAAATGAACTTCTGGGAACTCATTTTTACAAATTCCTAACCACTGCAAGCACTAAACAAAATGACAGAAAAACTTGGAGAAAACAGAACCGAGAGTTATAGATATAGTACCAAGAACCCCCCTGGGAACATACAAGTGAAGCAGGCCTTAAAAATAAGTGAATAATTGCAAAATAAACAAACAAACTCGAAATATTTAGGTGCAAATCTAACAAAACACGTATAAGACTTGTATGTTGAAAAGTACAAAACGCTGATTAAAGAAATAAATTCAGGACTTCCCTGGTGGCGCAGTTGTTAAGAACTCGCCTGCCAATGCAGGGAATATGGGTTCAAGCCCTGGTCCAGGAAGATTCCACATGCCGTGGAGCAACTAAGTCTGTTCACCACAACTACTGAGCCCACGTGCCACAACTACTGAAGCTCGCATGCCTAGAGCCCGTGCTCCGCAACAAGAGAAGCCACCTCACTGAGAAGCCCACGCACTGCAATGAAGAGTAGCCCTCGCTCGCCACAGCTTGAGAAAGCCCACGCGCGGCAACGAAGACCCTATGCAGCCAAAAATAAATAAATAAAATTAATTAATTAAAAAAAAAAGAAATTCAGAGGCATACCATGTTTATGAATTCGAAGACTCAACATAGCAAAGATGTCAATTCTTCCCTAATGATATATAATTTTAACACAATTCTTATCAAAATCTCAGCAAGATTTTTTGGTAGATTTAGACAGTATTATTCTAAAATTTATATGGAAAGGCAAACGATCTAGAATAGCTAAAACAATTATAAAAAAGAAGAGTAAAGTGGAAAGAGCCAGTTTATTCAATTTCAAGACTTATTACATAGCTGTGTAATTAAGATTCCGGTATTGGTGGAGGGACAGACACACAGATCAATGGTATAGAACAAAGAACCCACAAACAGATCCCCACAAATATGCCCAACTGATCCCTGACAAAGGTGCAGAAGCAATATAATAGGGGAAAGCTAGCCTTTTCAACAAAAGATGCTGGAGCAAATGGACATCTATAAGAAAAAAAAATCTTGACCTAGTATACAAAACTTAACTAAAAATGGATCACGACCTTAAATATTAAATGTAAAACTAGGAAACTTTTAGGGAAAAAAACATAGGAGAATATACTTGGAATCTAGGACTACTCAAAGAGTTCTCAGATACCAAAAGCATGATCCATAAAAGAAAAACAATAAATTGACTTCATCAAAATTAAAAAGTCTTGCTCTGTGAAAGACCCTGTTAAGGGGATGAAAAGGAAAGCTAAAGCTTGAGAGAAAATATTTGCAAACCACATTTCTAACAAAGGACTTAAAGAACTCTCAAAACTCAATAGTAAAAGACAAAAAATACATTTAGAAAATGGATGAAATACATGAAAAGACATTTCATCAAAAAAGGGCACACAGAAGGCAAATCAGCATATAAAAAGATGTTCAACATTGTTAACCACTAGGGATAAAAAAATTAAAACCACCATTTATAATGGCCCAAAACTGAAAACAACCCAGATGTTCTTCAACTGGTGAATGGTTAAACAAAGTATGGTATATTCACACCAAGCAATACTACCCAGCTATAAAAAGGAACCAACTACTGGTATACTCAACCTGGATGAATCTCCAGAGAAATATGCTGAGTGAAAAAAAGGTACGTTAACCAAAAGGTTACATACTGTTATGATCCCATTTATATAATATTCTTGAAATGGCAAAATTACAGAAATGGAGAACAGATTAGTGGGCTGCCAGGAGTTAAAAAACAGGTGGGTGAGGGAGGGAAAATGGGTGTGGCTGTCAAAAGGCAACATGAAGGATCTCTGTGGTGATGGAAATGTTCTGTGTCTTGACTGTATCCATGTCAATAACCTGGCTGTGATACTGTACTTTAGTTCTGTAAGATGTCACCACTGGGAAAAGTGGGTCAAGGTACAGAGCATCTCTCTGTATTATCTGTTACAACTGTAGGAAAATCTACAATCATGTCAAAATAAATAGTTCAGTTTTAGTTTAAAAAGAAAAGTGCTGGTATACATTATAAAGATATGAACTGTTCTCCACTGGCGGCAAGGAGGCAAGGTGATGCTAATTCGTGTGGAAAGGAGTCTGTGAGTGAGTCACTGAAGCAAAGGAGGAAATACCTGGAGAGGGAGAAGGCTTGGGAGCCACCTTGTCCAGAGGCTTCCTCTGTTATAAGAGAAAGAAAACTGAGGACCTTTCATGCAAACATATGCAAATCTTCTCAAGACCCCTCTTGTAATGGTTTGACTCCCAAAGTGGACACCAACCTGGCTAGTATCTAATGACACCGTCAAAAGGAAGCCAAGGCAGGGCAAACAGGGCAGCCAGGGTCTCAGCACACTAAACGGTATGTTGCAGAACCAGGAGTCAGAGATTATACTTTTAGGCTTTAAAGCACATGAACATCTATTATCTGGCACAAAGGACACAAGGGGTTAAAAAAAGTTGAGACAGAGGCCTCAATTCTTAAGATGCTAGAAGCTTGGGCAGACACTCTTCAGTAAGAAGTAAAACACATACTGGCAGCAAGGGTAGGATTAGGGTGATTTTACTTGAAAAGGTTTCAAAAATCAGAAGACTTTACCTTTGGTCTATTCTGGCACACTTACCCCTTAAGAAATTACCCGGCTGATGACACAGCAATCCCACCCCTAGAGAAATGAAAAGATATGTGCACACAAAAACTGTACACAAATGTTCACATCAGCATTATTCATGGTAGTCAAAAGCAAAAACGACCCAAATGTCCATCAACTGATGAATGGATAAATAAAATGTGGTATATCCATATAATGTAATATTATTTAATAAAAGAAATGAGGTACTGATTCATGCTATAGCATGGACAAACCTCAAAAGCATTATGCTAAGTGCAACAAGCCAGTCACAAATGGCCACATATGTTATGATCATGCTTTTATGCAATGTAAATGGTAGAGTAGTACCCAGAGTATGCAAATCCACAGAGGCAGATCAGTGGTTACCTAGGGCTAAGGGATTTGGGGAAAATATGGAGTGACCTGGGTACAGGGTGATGGGGTGATGAAAATGCTCTAAAATTGATTGTGGTGATGGTTATACAAGTCTACAAAGTTTTAAAACCACTAAATTGTGTATTTTAAACGTATGAATTATGTATAGCATGTGAATTAAATCTCAACAAAGGCACTGTTTAAGAAAAGAAGAAGAAGAAAGGAAAAGAAAAAGGAAGGAAGGAATGGAGGGAGAGAAAGAAAGAAAAAACAACCTACCAGGCTGAAAAATCTTGTAGTAGGGACTATAGGCCACGTTTAATCCACCAAGCTTCACTGAGATTTCGTAGCGCCCAGCCCTGCGCACAGTGAAGGCCACCTTGACCACGTTGGAACGGGGCTCCTGGAGGACTTCCTGGGTCACTGGAATTTCCACTGCTAGCTCAACATGAGAGATGTGAACTCTTAGTCCTACAGGCCGATGTGCAGGAAAGGGCTGCCCGTTCTTATAGAATAACTGCAGTGGGGAGAGGAGGGACACCCACTATTGAGCAGGGGGAGAAAATCATTTCCTGTGTTACTTGAGAGAGTGTGGGGAGGGAGGAGGTGACTGGTAAATCTCTGTATCCACCCACTCCTACAGTCCTGCTCACACATGAGGGAACAAATTCTCTCAATGCTTCAAAGAAAACCATTAAGTCACAAACAAATTCTTAATGTATTCTGAGGAAAGGGGTAAAATACACCATTGAGTCCGTTTCAACTTGACACTTCTGAACCACAGATGCTGCCTACCCTATCTTACTTGCCCTTTTTTCTTATATTATCACTGCTAACCCAAACATAAAGGTAAGTCAGTGGGTGCCACTGGCACTGAGTGAACAAAAGCACTAGGCAGGGCTAGTGGGGTTCAGACTATGGAGCTAAGCACAAGGCTGCAGTGGAGAAGTCTTTGCAGGGGGCAGCAAACGTTCTGCAGAGGGCCAGAGAGTAATGCTGTTGGTTTGTGGGTCATACACTCAACTGTGGTTAACTCCTCAAACGTGAAAGCATACATAGGCAGTAGGGGAAGATGAATGGGTGTGGCTGTGCTCCAGTAAGTCTGTATTTATAGAAGCAGGAAGTGGGCCTGATTTGGCCCTTGGGCCATGGTTTGCCAACCCCTAATCTGTAACACCTACTCTTTTCAGTAATATTTTTCTCACTTTGAAAATGTAACATTAAGCTTTATACTTCTTCCAAGCTAAGCACCTATTAAACCAAAATGATAGAGAAATGTATGACTCTTCAGATGTCAACAATTCCCAAGTTCCTGGGGGGTGGGGGTGGGGAGGTGTTGGAGAACATGAATGTTTCAGGCCAGCATCACCAACAGACTGAACTGGATTCTGGAAGGCAACTGACTCAGAAACCCCAATGGGTACGGAGACAGAAACATTCCCTTACATGCACTCGGAAGGCCATGCTGTGGCCCACCTCATAGGGGTCCTTCCAATCCCAGGAGACTTTGCATGACCGGGGATCCAGGTAATTTCCCCGCACGTAGTCATATATAGTCCGGTCCCCTCGGCGTTCTCGGTCCTCATTCTGGAGGAAGCTGACTATACGTGCGGCAAGCTCGAAGAGGAACTTAATTGTGAAGAAGAATGCAACCACAGACACTGTGATGCCACCTGGGTAAAAGAGAGAACACACACACACCACCCGCCAGTTACACATTACAGCTTCTCACTGTGGAACAGGCCAGTCATCTGTCAAGCAAGAATTCCAAAGACACCCTCTACTGGGTCACTACCTCTGTGGGTGAAGAGAGGAACTTCCATACCAGGGTCCTCGGACCAAATCCCACCCATTGCCTGTTTTTGTAAATAAAATTCTACTGAAACACAGCCCCACCCACTTATTTACTGTTGTCTAGGGCTGCCTTTGCCCTAAAGCTGCAGAATTCAGTAGTTGTGACAGAGACTGTATGGCCTGGGAAGCTGAAAATATTTACTCTTTGGCCCTTTACAGAAAAAGATTACCAACCCTTGTTCTACACCATGGTCCACATACGATGCCTACCTCAACCTCCCGTCATGTACTGGGTCCTAACACAGTAAAAAGAATGTGCACTCTACTCTCTCCATTTGGAAGCCTTCCCCTTCCTTGGCCACTTGGCAAAAGCCCTCTGCAACCCCTGCCACAGTTAGGGGTTCCTTCTTCTGGGCTTCTTCAAACTCCCATGCATGCATTCATCTATTATAACTTTTCTCCCCCTTCATGTTATGAACTCCATGGAGGCAGATTTTTGCCTTATTCGACTTTGACTCAACAGGAAACAGCATCTGGCACTGGCCATAATTACTCAATAAATATTTCCCAAATGAATGAATTCCACTGCCAACTCTGTGAAGGTACATTCTGGCACGCCTGGAAATATTTCTAAATCTATTCTCAAGGAGAAAGGGGGAGGTGAGGAGGCAAAAAATGATATAAGCAACCCTAAGAAAGAAATAATAGAGAGCTCTTTCTATAACGTACCAATGACGTAAAACATCAGGTCCCTTCAATGCCAACAGACAGCCGAGGATCACAGCTGCAGCTGCAAAAGAAAACTTGTTTAGTTTTTCCTCTAACTCTTCCTTACAGCTGTCTCAGAGAGAGACAAAGCAGAGCATGTGGCTTGAGCCTACCATCTCCAGCCTTACTATCCCTGCTCTCTCTCTAGCTTGACAGGTGCCCTACAACATTTCAGAGAAAGAGAGACCATCATTCCCCCCTCCTAAAGACTTCCAATCTATCGACCACCCTAGGAATACCATAAACAGCCACTTCTAATTACAAAATGTAATAGCATGGCTTTCATCTTCTTGGATCCAGAGCCCCAAGACACTTTACCTCCCCCACGCAAAGTGGTACTAATTAACACAGGCAAGGAAGATAATGGAGTCACTTTCCCCTTATGTTTGCCTTCTGGAAGTAATTCATCTAAGTAGAAATAGTTATATAAAATGTTTAAAAGGATTATTATCATCATGTTGGCATTATGTAATTAAAATGAACTCTGGGTCACCCCAATAATAAGCAATGGGCATGTAAGAGAAACCATTTTCTTTTGCTGTTACCAATCAGACAAACTAACAGGCCCTGTGGAAGATGAGCTCAGCAGAGAGGCCAAGGAGAGGAAGGAAGCAAAGGAGGAGACGGTACTTCTCATCCTAAGTGATGCCTGCCAAAGTCAGAACAATTCAAATAGGGGCCAGGGTCTGAGGGGAAACTTACACTGTTATTAGACTTATCTCCAGAATAAGACTTCAATCTTATTACTCATTTGAACCACCCATGGTACTGCCAAGGAAAAATGCAATGCACACTGACATTCCTATCTTATCACTGAGTTTTGACCTTAGCATAGACTGTACATGCTCTCCAATCCACAAGGCACTAAATTCATTCTTTCTTTTTAAGTCAATATATATTAAGGTTATCAATGTTATCTCAACCCAGCACCTTTTATCAGCACTAATATATAACTTAGAGACAAGACAGCTGAAAATTTCTATGCTCAGATTTGGGAGGCACCAAAACAACTTTTTTTTTTTTTTTCCAACCAAGTGTGCTTTTATGTCTGATTATGCTGGGAAAATTTAAGAGAAAGAGTGACCAAAAATGGCCATTAGATCCTTTGATAACAATATATCCAATGGAATCCATAGGGAGTAGGTAATTTGAGGAATGACCATGTCAAGTTTCATAGAAATCCCTATTTAGACTGGTGTCCAAAGTCCTACCAGAAAAGAAATCCACACAGGGAACATTAGCGCTGTCAATACACATGAATTAAGTTGCTCTCCAGAGGACAATATACTAACTCAATACTTGAGATCACAACTAGTGAGCCTCCTTCCCAAACAAGAATCTCATCTCCTGGGACCTTATGCTGAAAAGCTGCTATCATCTCTCAAAAAGCAACTCTCTGTGCCTTACAGGATATACTAGGTGACTTGGTGGAACCAAAACCAGCAGTTTAATTGTCTTAAATACTCCCTCAGTTGGACGTCATTCAATCTGATCCTGGACGTGAACATTTAGCCCTCAGTAAAGTTACAGCACTCAGTAGAAAATGAAGTATATGTAGGTGATGTTACAGACTTATGGTCTTACGTCTCTTACTCCTTAGAGGAATAGAGCAAAATGCTAAATTTATGGCACACATCATGAGGGCTGGGAAAATTCCTATGTACTGTCTCTGACAACCACAACAACCTTTTCTGTGAGAGGCAGCTGACAAGCAGTAAGTCAGAGCCTGGAGACCAGTTCCAGGGCTGCAAGTGTGTGACCTGTCTAAGCATCAGAATTCTCATTGCCGTAAAAAGAGATGAAGTTTAATAATTTCTATGACACCATCTCCTTTAGTGTGATAGGACTTCAATATAACTCTCCATAGCCATCAAGACTCTCAAATCAAACAGTAGAGCAAAGAGAATAATATAGAGGATGAGGGCATGACTAGACTAGAGCTAGACTACCTGGGTTCAAATCCGTTCTCTGCCACTCACAGGGTAACCATGGACAACTTATTTAATCTCTATAATCTGCCAGTTACCCTATCCATCAAATGGGGCTAATATCTGTGTGTACCTCACTGGGGTGTTGTGAGGATGAAAAGAGTTAACACATGTAAACAGCCTAGAATGGTGCCTGGCACACAGTGAGTTCTCAGTTTTAATTATTATTATAATTATTATCAATAGTAGTAGCAGCATCACTACTCCTTTGTTTCAGAGCCAGTAAGAAACTGAGGGAACCTCTCTATTGGTCCACACTTCATTCAATGAGAAATGCATCAGAACTACAAAAGGCAAGGCTTCTCTTACCATACTTAAAATCTCTGCCTATGTGGGAGTTCTTTAAACTTTTCTAATTTTATGTCTGAAAATTTTTATAATGAAGAGTTAAAAAATTAATACTAAAATAACTCATCCAACAAATACTGAGGACCTACTTAATATGCCAGATACTGGGGGAACGGTGTGGAACAGCCATAGTCTTGGTCCTCGTGGCTGATAATAATGAACTTGACCTTGTTAAGTCCTTGTCCATTTTTTCCCCATTCACTTGTCACTCAACCAAATCGTCACCACTGATCTAGATCACCTAGACCTTTTCCAAAAGGTCAATTCTACATTTCTACTCCAATTCCCTTTATTATTTAAAACTCATCATACCAATTATTACATTTTTCCAAACTCTCCTCTGTTCTCTGTGAAGCCTCCTTGTGATCAGGGAGTTAGCTCTGTCAATTCATCACTCATTGATGTGATCTTTATAAACTGTCCCACTTCTCTATAATACCTCTCAAAAAACTCCCCAACAATACTTACCCACCTCTCAATTTTACCCATGGTCACATTCTAAACTTGCCTTCCTTCTGCATTTTCCTCCTTTCTGGATGCTGTCACAAAGCTTCCATGCCTTTGTCTTTGAGTACAGGGTTTCCTTTTAGGGTGACCCCTCAAATCACTTTTATTCCAGATTCACCTCTTCTGTAGGCATTTTCTGTCCTCTTACTGTACCTGTCATGCCCTCTCTGTCCTGTCTCTGCTCCCACCCCACCTCACAGTAGTAAACCCATAACTTACAACCCCCTTATTGAGCCACTTACCACAGGCCAAATAATGTACTAGGTGTTTTACATGTTAGCCCAAGTAATTGTCACCAATACGACTTGGTAAATAAGCACTATTATTCTTATTTTAGAGACTTGAAAAAAAAACCCCTAGGCTTAGAAAAGTTGACTTGCTGAACATCTCCCAGTAGGTTAAGTGACTCGAGCCTGTCTAACTCTGAAGCCAAGTGTTCTTAACCTCATATAACAGTGAATCATGAAAAAGAGTGGAGTCATAGGGATAGTGAAGTATTTGGGAAGAGAAAAGATTTAAGAAACCGGTAAAAGAAAGTGTGAAAAGCATTACCCAATCTTACTGAGGATAAAATTAGAAAGACAAATGCTTACGGCCCCTTTTAAAATCTTTTGAAATAAAAATAAAGCGTTACAAAGGAAAATGGAATGCAGTACCAATTATCTAATGCAGAAATATCACTTGCTTACTAAAAGATCCTGGGCAAGTTGCTCAATACTACAGAACTTTGGCTCACATTACCTACAAAAAAGGGAAAGGGGAAATGTCTCAAGGGAATGTTAGAAAGTTGATTGACATACATATTCTAAAACTCTCTGCCTTTTTTTTTTAGTAAAAGATTTATAATTACAATATCAAATAAATTTTAGCCCTAACATTGAAGAATGGTTGTGAAAAAGTCTATTCCCAGAAATGGAGAATTGATTTCTTCATACTCAAATTTGCTCTGCTGGGAGCAGTCAATTCCAACTGAGCTGTGCACGTCAATGCTATCCCCTGCCGAGAGGGCTTAGAAACTGGTCACTGAGTCCATGTTCTACATCCCAATAATAAGTAAATCTTAACTAGTCTGTCACCTTACCTTTAAACGAGGGCCCATGTTCTGAGAACCAAGGGGAGCACACCTATCCACCAAAGCAGGTAACTTCTGGTCACTTTCACCTTGTCTTCCAACTTCCACATGAAAGAAAACAGCTGCAAGGTCAAGAGAAAGTGTCTGTCCATCAGACCTTCAGCGAGGGTGTGTCACAGAAGCAGAGGGTCAATGTTTCTGGAATGAACTGCATGAATTCCACAGTGGAGAAATATAATCCCAAAATATAACATCCCTGGACTTCTCTCTAGTGCAGGGTGCAATTGGCTGCCAAAGGGTGCATCTGTTCTGCTGTCTCAGGATCCTACGCTACAAAGAAAAAAAGAGTCAGTGGAATAGATTTTTATCTCTCAAAGAGAACCCCCAGAAAACAACAAAGAGGAGGTATAGAATAGACAATGGAAACACTGTGGCACTAAAAATAACCAAGGGCAGGTAATCTCTGACCAAGTTTTCCCAATTAAAAGTCCGCAAGAAAAGCCAAGTGGCGATCTCACGGGCTTAGCTGTGTCACTCCCCAGAAGAGAGCTCCAGCACTTCAGTGGATTCCAACCCTTCAGTAGATGCAGAGTAGAGCACAGATTTAGAGTGAACCTCGTCACAACCACACACCCAGTTTCACTTTAATGGGGCTGGGAACAAGGTGAAGAGAAATGAAAGGAGAGCACAGGCAGGGCTTGGCTGCAGAGGGCCTTGAATGCCCTGATAAGGAATCAAGGTAATACTCAGCTGGAAAGAGGAAACCACCAAAGAGCTTTAAAACCCAATCAATCAGCCTATGCAGTCTGCTCCCTTTGTGCCCATGTATACATTTCCAAGACAGGGTTAAACAATACTGACTTTATCTTTAAAACAGTAAAATTTGCTACTGTGAGTAAGGGGAAAATTTTTGTGAACATTCAAGATAAAGTCACTGAGTAACAAAGTTCAGTAAAGTCAGTCTGTAACTCAAAGATATTCATGAACTAAATGTAGCAGAAAGGGGTTTCTGGCAAGAACAGCCACCATAGAACACATGAGAAGAAACTACTGATCAGTAAATGAAAAGAGACAGTCCCTTTCCACATGGCAGGAACTGTTCTCAGTGCTTCATGTGTATTAACTCACAACCCTAAGACACAGATACAATTATCCCTATTCTACAGATGAGGAAACTGAGGCATTTTCTCAAGGTACTTTCTCAAGATTACGCACAGTACATGGTAGAGTTGAGTCAAACCCAGACAACCTGGACTCAGACTCCATGCTTCTGATGACCACTCTACTGCTTCTCTACCATGGGAGACCAAAAAAGAAAACACAAAATGCTAACAAGACCAGAAGAACAGAATGGGTGAAAGCCACCAGATCAAATAAGTTGTCAAACTTTTATAATTAAAAATAAATATGTGTAATTATTTTAAAATATGGTGATAGACTTGCCAAGTACATCAGCCAAAACCTGGGTCAACTAGCAATCGGAACCAGTTTAAAGGAGCCACAAACCAGAGAAGAGCTGAATAAACTATAAGAGAGCCATTAGAATGCTATATAAGCATTAAAAAAATTACACTTTAAAGGAATATCACAGTGAATCACTCACAAATAAAATGTTAAATGAAAAAGCAAGCACAAACTTATTTACATATCATGAGCCCAATTTTTAAAATATTATATTACATACAGAAGACTGGAAGGAGCAACAAAAAAGTGTGTTCATCTCTAGGTGTTTTGAATTATAGACGTTTTTATTTTCTACCTGTACCTTTTAGTATTTTCCAAATTCTTTTTTTTGGCTGTGCCACACGGCATACAGGATGGATCAAAACTGTACCCCCTGCAGTGGAAGCACAGAGTCTTTTTTTTTTTTTAATTAATTAATTTATTTATTTTTGGCTGTGTTGGGTCTTTGTTGCTGTGCACATGGGCTTTCTCTAGTTGCAGAGAGCGGGGGCTACTCTTCGTTGCGGTGCACAGGCTTCTCGTTGCGGTGGCTTCGCGGAGCACAAGCTCTAGGCGCGCAGGCTCAGTAGCTGTGGCGCATGGGCTTAGTTGCTCCACAGCACGTGGGATCTTCCTGGACCAGGGCTCGAACCTGTGTTTCCTGCATTGGCAGGCGGATTCTTAACCACTGTGCCACCAGGGAAGCCCGAAGCACAGAGTCTTAACCACTGGACTGCCAGGGAAGTCCCCCAAATTCTTAATGATGCAGGAACACATAAAAAGTTTCTAAATACTCTTTTTTTTCCTCCCTAAAAAGGCAAGTTACCCTTTTTTTCAAATAAGGAAACAATATTTTTGTTTGTTTGTTTGTTTGTTTACTTAGGCTGCGCTGGGTCTTCACTGCTGCGCGTGGGCTTTCCCTAGTTGAGGCGAGCGGGGGCTACTCTTCGTTGCGGTGTGCAGGCTTCTCATTGCGGTGGCTTCTCTTGCTGCAGAGCACAGGCCCAGGCACGAGGGCTTCAGTAGTGGTGTCACATGGGCTCAGTAGTTGTGGCTCTCGGCTCTAGAGTGCAGGCTCAGTAGTTGTGGCGCACGGGCTTAGTTGCTCTGTGGCATGTGGGATCTTCCAGACCAGGGATTGAACCCGTGTCCCTGCAATGGCAGGCAGATTCTTAACCACTGCACCACCAGGGAAGTCCTCGGAGTCCATACTTTTACAAGCTCCCCCAGGTGATTCCTATGCATGTTAAAGTTCAAAAAACATGGTCTAGACTCTAGAGCAGTCAGCTGAGAAGGGACCCAATATTCTGCATCTCTAACAGGTTCATAGGTAATGTTGATGCTGCTGGTCTGCAGATCATGCTTTCAGGAGCAAGGGTCTATTGCAGGAGGAGTTGGCAAACTACAGCCTGCAGGCCAAATCCAGACAGCTACTGGTTTTGTTTTGTAAAAGAAGAATAAACACAGCCAAGTTTATTCGTTTACATTTTGCCTTTGACTGCCTTTGAACTACAACACAGAGTTGAGTAGTTGCAGCAGAGATGTATGGCCTACAAAGCTTTCCTATCTGACCACCTACAAAAAAAAAGTTTACCAATCTCTGGTATAGATGACTTAGTCTTAAAAGTACATAAATGTGTTGTATAAATGAACTCATTTTCATATATCAAAAAAGCATAAAAATCACTTTCTTCCAGTTCTACTACCCCTACTTAGGAAAAGGGCTATAAAACTGGCAACATTATGCAAATGTTTCTCCTGGCTAATTTCAACTGTTATTTAAAAGTTTTATGCCTTCCATATTCCAAATAGGAATTTCATACAATCATTTCCCAAGTACGTGTTTCATATAATCATGCTTGGATTTCATCAAGGCTATAATTTCCTGAAACCAACCAGTACCTCAGGGACCAAATACTGTATCTGGGTTTCTAAAATTACTACAATACATACTGAGTTTCTACTTTTACAGTGCTATTCTGAAAAGCTGTGACCTACTGTATAGCACAGGGAACTCTACTCAGTACTCTGTAATGACCTATATGGGAAAAGAATCTAAAAAAGAGTGGATATATGTATATGTATAACTGATTCACTTTGCTGTACAGTAGAAACTAACACAACATTGTAAATCAACTATATTCCAATAAAAAATTAATTAAAAAAAGAAAACCATGTGAAAGTCCACTTCAGAATTCTGGTACATAAAGAGATAGTGGCAGCACATAGGAGTTCCAAATATCAACCACTGAGTCCCACAAAACAAGACAGGACAAAAGAAAGACGTTCGCTTTGTTAAGATGTAGTCTCCAGCGTTCTCTACACAGAGAAGCACCAGCCGCAAGTCCACAGAAGTCAAACGAAAAAAACCAAATCATTCAATTAGCAAAAGGCCCACAAGTTAGAGTGGTCCAACTAAGGAGGTTCCAAGAAACAAAGTGTACCAACAGACACTTTAGATTATTAGTTTATATTTTCCTTTGCTTAATTTCACCCTTGGTTTATTCTCCCCACCCCAAAATCCCACCATAAAAGATTGCCTTCCCCCATCAAGTTTATACTCTTGAGATATTTATACAGTTGTGTATTCCTGCTACCTTGGTTCAGCCAAGTTATGCAATTTTCATTTCTATCCGTTCCTCATCCGTCAGCCCCTCCAGTCTCTTAATCATTCCTGTGAGTCTTCTGTGAACTCTCTCCAGCTGGTCCCCAGAGATTTGGTAATGAGGTGCCTCCAACTGACTGCAGCCTTCCAGGAACAGCCTCGTTAGTCAGAACAAGATGAGCTCACCCTCCTCGGTTCCGTGACATAATACTCCTGACTAGACTATCCCCCAAAACAGAAAGCTAGAATGCTGCTGTATTAGACTATAACCTCATTCCATGCTCCCCAGATGTGGGCATTGGGGCATGCCAGAATGTGCTAGAAGACAGAGGATAAATGGACACATTCCCACTGCGTCTAGTTATTAGAGGATGAGGTAGTGGGGAGAAAAAATATTCTCATGTTAAAACAAACTCATAGATAATAAAATAGAATGCAAAATATGCAAGAATTCCTAAAGATAAAACATGGGTATGTTCAAAACGTTCATATATATTTTGTAGTTGAGGCAGAAAGGCTCCTTGGGGCTCTGTTCCCAGCCCCCAAACGGTTACATGCCCCCTATCCTCTACCATTAGAGGTACCTGAGCCGAAAATCTGGAAAAGCACTGCAACCTCCCCTCAACTGCTGATATACTACCCCGTTACCACCCATTTCATATACTCACATTTTATTTTTTCTGCTATGTTCCTCCATGCCTAGATATCTGTATTTTCTCTTAGCTTAAAATTATTTGCTGGGCTTCCCTGGTGGCGCAGTGGTTGAAAGTCTGCCTGCTGGTGCAGGGGGCACGGGTTCGAGCCCTGGTCTGGGAAGATCCCACATGCCGCGGAGCAACCAGGCCCGTGAGCCACAACTACTGAGCCTGCACGTCTGGAGCCTGTGCTCTGCAACAAGAGAGGCCACGATAGTGAGAGGCCTGCGCACCGCGATGAAGAGTGGTCCCCACTCGCTGCAACTGGAGAAAGCCCTCGCACAGAAATGAAGACCCAACACAGCCAATCAATCAGTCAGTAGAAATGCTGTAGAATTATTTAAAAACCTCAGGGGTTAGTTCTGTGAAACACTGCATACAATTATAAAAAAAAAATTATTTGCTAAAACTTTGTGTTTTAGCAAATTCACTATAATTCACCACCAACATCTTTAGGTTCTTCTGTATCATTCATTCTTCATTCATTTCATATTTGTTGAGCATCTGTGGCATGCTAGACTGTGTGCTAAAAGCTAAGGTCACAAGAATAAATAAGACA